TGAATACTAGAGAATTGCAATAATTCTTATTTCTTAAAAAAATTCTTTTATTGGTACATTTTAGGTATACAACACATTTACATTTCTCATTGGGAACTTTACATGATGCATCTTGGTTCTTATTTTTTCCCCATTCCGAGCCCTCCCTTCACCCCCTCCACCCTTCCCTATTTACAAAGACTTTGTTTCCATTTTTTCCATTTCTCATTATTTTTCCTTTCCCTTCTTTCTTTTCCCCTGCCCCTCCCACTTCCCCTACCCTTTTGGACCTTTTCTTCCTATTTTGCATTATCGATTATTCACTCTAATCATTGGTACATTTTAGGTATACAATATAATGACATTCATCATTGGAAATTTGCACCTTTACATAGTCTCTCTTGGTTCTTAATTTTCACCCTTCCCCTGCCCTTCCTTCAACCCCTCCATCCCTCCCTATTTACAAAGACTTTGTTTTCATTTTTCCATTTTCTCATGTTAATTCCATTCCCTTCTTTCCTTTCCCCTACCCCTCCCACTTCCCCTTCCCCTTTGCCCCTTTTCTTCCTATTTCACATTATCTATTATACATTTTAGTCCTTATTGACACTTTCAGTTTCTCACACCAGAGAAACTATTCGGTATTTACACATGTGTGTCCTATTTATTTCACTTAAGAGTATAGCCTCAATGTGCATCCATTTATCTATAAATGTCTCTAATCTCTCATTTTTTATGGCTGAGTAGTACTCCATTTTATAAAAAAACCACATTTTCTTTATCCAGTCTCCAGTTGATGGGCAATTGGGTTGCTTCAAATCACAAATTGTGCTGCTATGAACATGTGTGCATATATATCACTGTGGTAATAATTCTTATGATTATAATTTTGGAATATTACTCATTCCTTAATGTTTTATTTAATGAGCTTTTCTCTTTTTTCAAGCTAGCTGTAACTCATAACAATTTAGTAGATTTTGCTTTTGTCTAAAAAAATGAAATATTCATCTTTTCTTCCTACTGATCTCTTCAAAATTCAGGAACTCTGATTGAATATTTTTATTTTAAAGGCAATACAAAATAAGAATCTGTTGCCCTTGTAACAGTTCATAACTGGAAAAATGGTTTACAATCCAGGCTTTCATTGGAATGTTATATTTGATACTGATACATTGAATCACATATGTCCATATTTAAGCTACTAAGGCTGATTTTATAAAGCCAAAACTCACAAAGATCTCGGAAAAACTTGGTACCTAGCTTCCAGAGGTCCCAGTCTTCTATGAGTAAGCAAGGTCAGTTCTAGCAGGAAATTTAGGATATTTGGGAACTTCAAGAAGAGAAGAATCTACCCAGATCTATAGTTACAAGAAAAATCTAGTGGTAGATTTTTGGCGTGGCTTTCAAGTCTTAAGAGACTACTAAAAAACTCATCTGAGATTCCTTATGAAAAATCTAGTATATCAAACCCAAAAATGCCGAAGTAGTCAATTATTTCTGTTTCAATTATGTAAATAACCAGGCCAAGTTGAATGAGACCAACATTATTTTGTACACAACAATAAAGAAGGGAGGTGAGTGTAGAGAAAAATTTTATGTTCATTGGAAAATTATAGTGAACCTTTGTGAATTATTTCTAATCTTTTTTTTGAGGCTTTAAAAAAATCTGTAAACTGGACTGGATCTTGCAATTTTACACATTTTGTCAATTCTTGTAGTTTCTCGTAGGTGGCTATAATTCTTCACCTAACATTTTCAGTTTTTTGCCTACCTTCCTGACTTGGGAATTATTGAGAACTAAGACCTTCCTTTGTCCCTGGTATCTTTGGAAGTGGAAACAATATAACCTGATATAAATTATTGTACCCTTCATGTTTTGGGCAACCTTCAAGACTACTACTATTTGAGCCACTTGGACAATTTGCTAGAGCACAAAATACTATTACCAAGGACACTTAAACTGCAAAAAATGCTTAGAGCCCTACATCTAGAAATCTCCATTAGATTGTTTCTGAAGTTGGAAACTAGTTTTATAGTCTGTTCCAACCACAGATCTTTTTTTTCCTTTTCCTTTTCATAGAAATTCTCATCGTTAATGCCTGGCTGCTTGTACCATCAAGCAGATAATTTCTTCTACCAAGTCACAATAGGTAAATGAACTGCTACTTAATGAAAAAAAGGCAGCCAAATAAGAAATAGACATATTATTCAAAGAAAAGAATATCTGTTCTTTCTATGAAGAAGACAAATTAACAAAGACTGTTTCTTTAACTAAACTTTAGTCAGGTTTGCTAAGCACTTTCTCGTCTAGATCTGCATTGCCCAGTGTTAGCAAGAATGTAGCTAAGTCATTTTAGAGAGGTCCTTTACCTTTAATATCTGACATCTTTCTATATCTGATCAAACTCCTCATCCTCTACCTTCATCCAGGCAATATGTGATCATCTGGCCTGCCTTCAGGAAGAATCTTACTAAGGCTGTTTAACCAGAATTTCCTTTATCCTTGATGTTTCTTTTTAGCAATCATTCTTCCACTGACCCCCATTCTACTCCTTGTCTATAAATCCCCACTTGTTCTTGTTGTATTATGAAATGAGATCAGTTATATACTGAAGTCCTTTTTTCTGTATCGTGACTGTTCTGAATAAAATCTGTTTTACTCCTTCAACTATTATCTAGTTCTGGTTTTCTGTGATAATAATATACAGCCTGGAAGAGCAATTACTATCATTTGTATACACTGAGAAATATTTCAGTTGCATTTAAATAAACCAATGATACAAAATTTGAATCAGTGCTTTGTGTACGTATAGAATGTCCTTGAGGGATAAATACCTGAGAACTTTTTGTCCTGAAAACCAGGATATGGGAAAAGATTTATTGAGATCAGTGCTGATAGTATACAGTTGTGTAAAAAGGAAGCCACTGTGCATTGCTATGCAAATAATAGGTGATTTCTAAGTAGTAATTTATCTTGTAGTCATAGAGAACAATTGGTAGTTAAAAATACTGTATACCTTTTTGATTTGATTTATTGAAAAAATTCTGATAATTATTAATACCATCAAATATAGCCTGAATTATTATATGCTTCTTTCGCATGCTATTTGAGGAATTGAGCTGTAATATGTCTGACTACTGAGGAAAAAAATATTCATTTGGATTTTTAAAATAGATGAAAATATTTTATCATAACGCTGATACTTCTCATAACGATCTTTTTAATTAACTTACTTGAATGATATGTGACAACATTTTATTCAGTATGTTGAATTGCTTGATTCTTCACTTTAGGCTCAAAATACCCTTCTAAAAAATTTGCAGATGAGAGATTAGGATTTCTCTTTTAAAAACTGAACTGTTGTATAATGGCTTATACTTTGATGCTTTCCAATACCTTTCCAGGTAATTTCTTTACTTTTGGAGAAAGAAACACATAATTTATTGTCATATATGTTTAAGAATCATAGCACTACACATGTAGCATTACATATATGATAGTTCATAAGAAAGATAAAACAGTTTGGTACTAAAAGAAGTTAAAGAATGGCTAAGAAATCTATTTACTCTGTCTCCCAAATAGAAAGTCAAATTTTTTGCTCTTATTTGTGAAAGGTTTGCCAGTTTAATTCATGATAGCATTCTGAAACTCATACTCAGTGAGGAGTCTTCAATAATTCCTAGGTTTACAATGACCCAGATATCCAGAATTGTCTGGAAAATATGCCAAATATTTATTTCAATTGAAAAATCATTAACTGGGAATTAGGACTCTCTAATTTGGTAAGATCTTAAGAATAGGAACCAATTGAATGTGGAAAACCTTGTTGTGCTTCAGAGTCTGTTATTAGGCCAGACATTGACAGTTTGGTAAGAAAATAAAGTATGACCTATATAGATAACAGGGAATAATAAGTATATTGACTTTTTAAATTCCAAATAACATACTTTATTCTAAATAAATTATTGCAAAAAACTTACATATTGTGGTCATTGTATGCTGAATATAGATGCTGAAACAATATTTGTCACCTTTGGGAAAAACAAAAAGTTAGTGTTTAAAATAGCTTATTGTGAGACAAACATTCTAAATGTAATGAGCTCATGTTAACTGTGAAGGAGTCACTGTTTTACACACTGAAGTATGGAGAGAATACATTACTTACCTAAACTCCGTTGTTTAATCTGTTAATTGACAGAACTAGGATTTGGACAGTCAGTGTGGGAGTAGTCTGCTCTTTATCACTCTCCTTCTCCTCCTCCTCCTCTTCTTCTTCTAGGTTAATAGTTTAACATTACTATCTGTTAAAAATAAATGGCAATTCATATTTATAGTATTCCCTAAAACATTAAAAAATGTATCAGGTTATCGAGCGTAATGTTTGGCTGTGTGATGGATAGGGCTATTTCTCTTTTTATCTAGTACTACCCTCTATAGTAAAAAATTAAGTACAATTTGATAAGAAAGTTTTAAACATTCAAATATTCTTGAATGTCTCATCCTAAGGGATAGCTTGTTAATTAGAATTAGCAAAGAGCAGAGCTTAAATATTTTTTTGCTCAAGTAATTATTTTTCTCAGGAATGGCTTTTAAATAATTGGAGAAAAGGGCCGGGGATTTAGCTCAGTGGTTCCACCACCTGCCTTGCAAGCGCAAGGTCCCAAGTTCGATCCCCAGTACCAAAAAACCCCCCAAAACCAAAAACCAAAAAACAGACAAACAAAAAATAATTGGAAAAAAACAGAGAAACTGTCCTTAACTGTGCAAATTTAATTTGTTTTGCAGATGCACATCTTTTTTTATTTATCAGTGTAGTATATAATTTTATTTCAAAGTGGATCTTTTCATAATATTAATACTAAATGTTGAATAATTTGCCCAAGGTACTTATACACTCATTTCTGCTTGTGTTTTTTGTAATAGAGTGTGAACCATAGTGGGTGTTATAGTTGTTTTGATTAAAAAGTCAATTAAATTAGTAATGTTTAGTAATGTTAATATCTATCCCTTTTCATTACAGAAGAAAATACTCAGGAAACATCAAAAGTGAAGAAAAGTTTGAGTGATAAAGTTTCTCTCTATAGAGGTGACATCACATTGCTAGAGGTAGATGCTATAGTCAATGCGGGTGAGTAGTTCATTTCTCTATGATGTATTTTGTTCTGAGTATTGCTTTAAAATACTTTTCATATCAGAAATATAATTTAGAAAACAATATCATTGTTGGTATAGAAATGTTTTATATATTTTCCTTCTTGATTAAAAACATTGAGAATTTATTTTATGTATTTCTGAAAATAATGTGCTACCTAGAGTAAAAGGTACTAAGTTGAGACTAGGGTACTACACCACTAGAAAAGTGATAAATTGTTGCAGAAATTTCTTCAGAAAGAACTTTAACATCTATATGATTGTTAATTTAATTTTTGAGTTTATAATTAGCCAAGATATATATAAGTTTATAAAACATTTTTGTGTTTTCAATAGATTGCAAAGAGATGATTAAACTGAATCAGATAAAAGTAAAATACAAAGAAATTATTTCTTTGGTTTCAAAACCTTTTGGTTTTAGGTATTCATTTTCATTATGACAGCTGTTTTAAAACACTTTTTAATTGTTTTAAAAATTAATTGTCTAATTTTCTTATTTGAATATTTGGAAAATATAATAATGTTATTTATGATGGTTTATATCGCCTATATATTTTACTATGCAGCTGTATTTCAAGAAAGACATATGTTGTGATTCTATTTTAAAAAATCAATATGAAAATATTAATGGTTTTAATTTGTGTTTTGTAAAGTTGGCCCCTTTGAAGGATAAAGGTGTAAAGTTAGATCTGGAGAGGCTTTATTCAGAAAGACTTAAAGGCATGAAGACTTAGAGGGAAGAAGAATATTGCAATAGGGAGAACTGTTCCCACCATGCGATCTGTAACTATCTCAAGGGTTAAGCAGAAAAAGGCTTTATCTTTTATAGGGAAGAGTAAATAAGTCTAGAAAAGAAGAAGGTGTGGAGGAATGGGATGAAGGGCTGGCTTGATTAGACATTTGAGCAGGGCATATTCAAATGTACGCTGATATATTCAGGGTCAGCTGATTCCATTAAAGACAGGTTGTTTTCCTTCCATTGCTCCAGGGTGGGCTTAACTTTAGGGGTTTGTAGGAAGGAGAGAAGCACCACTAAGGTTTAGTCCAGTCCAGTTTTTAGGCAGTAGTCAACCAGAATGGTAAAAGGGACACAAAGTTCAGCCAATCATATATGAGACAATGAATGGGAATTTGGAGGTTCTGTATCTGGCTTTGTGATAGTTTACAAAGTTGTCATCCATCTGTGAGTTTTACCTAAGTTATGAAGAAGAGTAACTCTTTGCAGTAAGCCACAGGACAAGTGTAATTTCCTGTCATTGTTTTCTAGGATTGCAGGGTTCAGATGAAGTACAATATTATCTCCAATTTTCCTCTGGTGATGAGTAAATTCACACATTAGAGTACAAAATGCCTCGGTAACATGGATAAACAGAAAGGTATAGTGAAATCTGGAACATCGTTCAGCATATAGCACAATTCTGGGCACCTAGAGGAAGGCTGAAAACCTAGTTAGCTTATTCTTCCCTCAGAATTGGTAGTTGGTTACCTTTGTGTGTAGCTGTATTGCCATAATCAGGGTTCAGTTTTTCTCTTTCTCTTCTGATGTCTTTATACTTTCTCTCTCTTTTTCTTCTCTGAAATGTAAAATTATTTTTGAGAGAGGAGCCTGGATCATTTAATCTTCACTTAACGTGGCTCATGTTTACATAGAATTTCATCCTTAGGTCAACTCGTAGGTGCTACAGTTCTCCCTTGTATCTAGCACTATGGGCTGCTCATTTTTGCCCTGGGTATTATGATTCTTTCCTCTGACTTGTGAGGTCTCTGGGGAAGACATATCCTTGAAAAGGGTCTCATGAACTACTATCTAGTACAGTTTTATTCAGATATCCTTGAAGTTAAAAAGTTGTCAGTGATGTATTATGCCTAGAATTCAGTAAGTGTGAGTTTTAATTTAAACATATTTGAAAAATTCTCTCTCTCTTTCTAAATATATGTCTCCTTCTTCCTTTCTTCTAGGTTCTTGCAATTTTTAGTCATTTATTCTAGTTTTGTCCTAAGGAGTACAATTAATATCATCTCCTTTCTTTTTAAATACTTAAGACCATTCTCATGAGGTTCTTTTTTCTTGGTAACACGGAATTTGCCATGTTAATACACTTATTAGCAGTAATAGTGATCTTTCTTGAATTTGTTAACTGGGTACCTGTATTTGCTCCCTTGAAGCATAGAATGATACTTTTTCACTTTTTTTGTTTTTTGAGACAGGGTCTTACTAGGCAATTCAGGCTGTTCTTAACTCATATGTAGCCCAGGCTGGCCTTGAACTCACAGTGATGTCCTGCCTCAGCCTCTTGGGTGCTGGGATCACAGGCACATGCTACCACACCTGGCTACCTTTTTCACTTTGTTTCACTGCCCAAAGCAATGTCTGAACCTTATATTTTTAAAATGTATTTGATATTGTATATTTGTTAAATTGAACTATATGCAATTGATTTTGTAGTGCCTACAACCAATAGTACATTTGGCTGAGGACTTTATATCATGAACAAAATTGGCTGTGGATTTAAAATTTATTTATTTTATCAATAAATAAAAATATTTTGGAGTAGTTTATATTGAAATAAAATAAAATTCCACACAGAAAAGCATCATTAACTGTTCCATCACTATTTTTGATTTTTAAAAAATTTTATCTCGGCAGTGTATAATTTTTTCATAGATGCCACATAGTGTACAAGGGTAAGATGAGTTAATCTGAATATAGGCAGAAACTTTTATTATTCCTTAAACCACTTGTCACCTTTATCTCATCTCTCTGGCTAGGATGACTATAATTTGAACATATTTTACAAATCACGAGGATAGCCTCAAAAGGAAGTTCCTGGCAGATAGGAAAGAAATGCCAAATGTATAGTGTAATGGCTCTATTTACAGCTTTCTGCTGTGCAGTTTGTTTACTTTGTGTGGAAGGAGAGGCACAGCTGTTAACCTTTCAGGTGAACAAGTCAACGTGGCAGGAAATTCTAAAGTTGCCTTTAGTGAGAGGGGATGAGAGGCAGTGCTCCAGTCAAGGTGCCTAAGCAGTGCAGTCATTCTTTTCTGTAGACTTCTAAAGTTCTGTTTCCATGACCATATTAGCATATTGAAACACTTGGTCTTAGTAGCTATATAGGGAGTGATTTGGTATTTTAAACTTCTTCCTATTGTTTTCTGAATTTCCTCAAATTTCTTTAAATGTTATCCAAGATACGCCTCCTATATATTCTTGTTTCTAGGAAATTATTTATATGTGGTATGTTTTAATAAAATAGGTTTTTTTTTTTTTTTTGGTACTGGGGATTGAACTCAGGTCCTTGCGCTTGCGCAGCAGGCGCCGGAACCACTGAGCTAAATCGCCGGCCCTTAAAATAGGTTTTTTTTTTTTTTTTGGTACTGGGGATTGAACTCAGGTCCTTGCGCTTGCGCAGCAGGCGGAGAAACCACTAAGCTAAATCCCCAGCCTAATAAAATAGGTTTTATAAGTGTAGCCTGAAGGACAATAGTACAAACTTAAAGTCAAGCAGACCTAGATTCAAATTCAGGTTCTTATAGTTGGGCTGTTTTTGGTTAAAATTTTAGTTTGAAATATGTCGCGTTCGTCTTTGACCAGCAATGACGACGCAACACCAACGCTCTTCTTCTAGCAGTTTATTCAGGAAAACTTAACATTCTTTTGCCACATCACAGCCAAATAAGGAGTTGTTTATCATAAAGAGCTCTCGCCATCGGGATGGCGGAAGGCGGAAACCAGCGCCATCTTTAAGGCGCGGCACACGCAGCTCTCCACAGAAATAATTATAGAAAATTGCAAAAAGAAATCAGTCTCCAACATACCCTTCATCTTCACCCATGGAAGCTTCCTACAATGGTGGCAACATGTAAGCTATACTACAATATATAAAACCAGGTTTCAAGTTATACTACCAAGCCGTACTAATAAAAATCTCATGGTTCTGACACAAAAAATAGGCAAGCAACAGAATAGAGCAGAGGACACAGAAATAAACCCAAACAGCTACAATTTTTGACAAAGGGTCATACCCAAAAACATATCCTGGAGAAAAGACAGCTTCTTTAACAAAGGATGCTGCCAGGCATGGTGGCACACACCTCTAACCCCAGCACTTGGGAGGTTGAGGCAGCAGGATAGTCCCAACTTTGAGGCAGCCTGTAGTACATAATGAGTTCAAGACCAGTCTAAACTATGTGGCAAGAACCTGTCTCAAAAAACCAAAACAAACAAACATAAAATAACACAAAGGAGATGGAAGCAGTGCTGAGGTTGAGGTCACCTCCTTTGGTCAAAGCCTTGAGTTTTCCAGTTTCCACTCACTTCCAGAGCATTAATGAAAAAGTAAACCACAGCAAAACAAACAAGTGGTGCTAGGAGACCTGGACATCCACATACAGAAGATTGAAATTATATTCCTACCTCTCACCTTATGCAAAAATCAAGTAAAAATCTAAGTCAAAGACTTAGATATAAAACCAAAAACTTTGAAATTGCTGGAGGATAATGTAAGGGAAACATTTGAAGCCACAGGCACAGGCAGAGACTTCCTGAATAGGATTCTAGTCACAAAGGAAATAGTATCAAATATCAATAAATGGGACTACATGAAATTAAAAAGCTTCTGCACAGCAAAGGAAATAACAGAGTGAAGAGACTACCTATGAGAGAAAGTCTTTACTAGCTGCTCTTCTGATAGAGAACTAATATCTAGAATATATGAAGATCGCAAAAAACAAATAATAAATTGGGAAAATGAACATTTTATAAAGAAAAATATAGTAATCAAGAAGTGTATGAAAAATTGTTCAGCATCTTTAGCCATTAGGGAAATGCAAATAACAACTAGTTTGATTCCATCATGCCCCAGGCAGAATGTCTATTATCAAGAACAAAAATCCCAGTGAGTGTTGGCATGGATGTGAGGGAAGACAAAACACTCCTACATTGTTGGTGGAAATGTAAACTAGTACAGCCACTAT